TCATTAGAAATATTAATTATATCTTAATATATATATATATAAATTACGTGTCATGTTGTTTGTCCGCAATAGACTTTTAAACTACTGAATGAATTTTAATCAAAATTTGCACACTTTGTGCAGTTTCATCCAACTTGAAACATAGAATAGTTTATATCTCAATTTATTAATCGCCAATTATTTGTTTATTAATTAATTAGAGTCATGATTATCTCAGTTAGTTCCACAAAATTCTAACAGATGGCGGTATAAAATAATTCGTTGACTTAAAGACGTGTGTAATAGTGTGTACTATTATGAACCTATATGTTCAATTTATTTCTATTGCATTTTAGATTAAATTAGATTAATCAAAATCAATAATATAATATTCTATAAATGTTTGTATTAAAAATGAATGAGTAAAGAAAAAAAAAAATATGAAAATTTGTCATTTTAACATAATAATAATGTTAAAGTGCAAAGGGATAAATCAATTTTTACGCTTGGATGATGAAACATCTGGTCATACATTAAATTTCCCTTCGTCGATTGTGCGAAAGTTGTTGCAATATGGCGTCGTTGCAAAGCCAAACAAACGTTAGGGAGGGACGTTTAAGACGTTGTGTTTCATTATTTTAATGATATTACATTATCTTAACTTTTGAAATGTCTTTTATAAATAAATTATAGGTATTTTAGAAAAAAAAAAAAAAAAAAGAAAAGAAACAATTATGTGAAAATTCATGAACAACATGCAACATTTCATGCACAGTCTACAATGATAACGTAAATTTACTCGATACAAGGAATAATAGTGAAAATGATATAATAATACTAATAATATAATGTTATTTACAAATTATTCGAAATGATTATGTCACGCGATCATTTAACAGCAATAATTTACAGTACATGTATTTAAACTGTCAAGGTTATTAGTTATAAATCTAACAAATTATTATTTGGTAATTTAAATATCACACACCACATGAACTAATAAAATTGAAAACTATGTGTGAGATATAATAATAATAATAATAATATGAAGTAAAGATCCGTTTAATTGTAACTGTAAAAGAGCGGTTGTTGACTGGTCAGGAATCTGTCTGTCTGTCTGTCTGTCTCTCTCTCTCTCTCTTTGTCTTTGTCTCGGTTGAAAGATTTATTAAATTAAATTGATGAATCGTGTGTGAACGAACACAACGGGGAATAAAATAGCGAATGATGATGGTGGTAGTAATGATCAATCAGTTGGTAAAGAGGTTCTCTACACTCTACAGTGTTCATTTTGAGCTCGGCATCACAGGATAATTTAATGTAGCGTGATTAGGATAGTTGGAAGGAGAGAGAAAGAAAAAAAGAAAAAGGTTATAATATACGAATTACATCGTGTTACATCTCTACACGGTGTACTTCTTACTCTTTCGATAATAACCAGTGCACAGAAGATCGATCAGTCACGAATCAGACGTACTTCCGATCATTTATCAGTACTATCAGATGATTTCTGAGATCTAACAGGTTGATAAACTCATCGGTCAAATATTTTTCCGTCATTGTACGATCAAGGATCTTATACTTTCATTTATAATTCTTACATCTTCTGAGTTTATTCGTGTATGTCTCTTTGGAACAATATATTTGTTTGTTTGTTTGTTTGTTTGTTATCAAGTAGTGTCATTTATTTTTTCTGTGAATATTTGTTTTGTTTTTGGTGCGTTTGTGTGTTTTTTTTTTACAAAACAAATTATTCAACAAAAACTATCATCATTACTTTATTGGTATATATATATATATAT